ACAAGGACATGAGTTGAAAAGACAGCTTTCTATGAGTGAATGCATTGCTTCTTGTCCAGTTTTTGATAAAAAAAAGTCTACATATTGATTAAAGGCATATTTATGTACACTCCAGGCATACACAATAGATTCTATCTCAGAGTATGGAAGAAAAATAAAAAACTGTCACTAGGAAGACTGCCACTAGCTAAAAAAAATAAACATTTATAAACATAAATACCCCATTTTCATGCTCTCTGAGTGAATTTCATTGCATAAACTATGAAAAGGCTAAAGAAAATGTAACTACTTAAAATTACTGCCTTATAAGTGTATGCACAAATAAATATAAACTTACGAGTACACTATGTAGCTTGTTATAGATTATGTTTGAATATATTATTTTTTATTGCTTCCACATTTGATTGAACACAAGAAAAATCAAGCATGGAAAACAGATGGAATACACAAGAAACTTAGAAATATGTTTTTTTAACTGGAATCAGATTACTTTTTACTCTCACTTGATATAAACATAAATATTGTATAACAGCATGATGTAGTTCAATAAAAATACTAAGTATTATATAGTGTTTTATTCTCAAGATGGCTGTTTGCCTTATGTAATTATATGCTGGAAGCAAAAATTAAAGCTGTAGGATTCAAATGAAATGGTGGTTAGAGAAACTAAATCTTGCCATAATTCACATTACATCACGGCAGAAAATAATTTGATGTAAACTCTTAATCTTTCAACAAGCAAAGGTGCTTGAGTTGTTTTTGTTAAACATATGTCAGATGCTCGTTCTCTATTGTAAACAGTAGATACGATTCACAGGCCCAACCACACTCTTACACAAGAAAGTTTAAAAAACTACTCCCTAACGTAGGTGACACTTTTAAACAGCAAATATTAGTGATTCATAATATTATTTTTATCATTAAAGTAAGTGGACTATATTTGGAGACTTCACTGAATAATAAAGGAGGTTCATATCTTAAGAAATACTAGTGATGTTTTAGAAGAAAGAAAGAATATTTCCGATTATTTGAGGCAAAGCAAAAGAGGAGAAAGGAAAAGCATTCAAGATATGCAAATGCATGATATAGTCATCTAATGTGCCAAAAGAAAAGGATAATCCACATAAGATAATTTCAATTCCTTTGCGTTTACTGAAGCATATTCTATCAGCTAGTAGTTGGCCTATTTTGGAGAATATCCTATGTGCAACTGTGAAGGACGGACATTGTGATGTTGTGGGACGGAACACTCTGTAAACAGTCCAAATGATCACAAATTTGGTTCAGTTCTGGCATTTTTTGTTTGAAGGTTTTGTGTGTGTGTGTGTGTGTGTGTGTGTGTGTGTGTCTGTGTGTCTGTGTGTGGGGGGGGGTGTGCGTGTGGGTGTGTGGGTGTTCGTGGTTCCAGGGATCGAACTCAGGACCTTGCACTTGCCAAGCAGGTGATTATGCCACTGAGCTAAATCCCCAGCCCCAGTTCTGACATTTTTTGTTGAGTTTCTGCTTAATTGATCTACATGTGACTCCAGGGTATATATATATTTCTCTACAGTGATTTCCACAGGGGTCACATCAGTCCACATTCCTATCAATAGTGAATAAGGGTTCCTTTTTCCCACTGCCCCTCTAGCATTTATTTGTTGATTTCTTGAAAATAACCATTCTTTCTAGAGTGAAATAGAATCTCAGTATTGTTTTGTATCTCTTGAATTAACAGTGATATTGAATAGTTTTTCATACACACAAATACATGAAATATATATATATATATATATATATATATGCCATTTCTACTTCATCTGAGAAGTGCCTCTTCATTTCAGATTTTCAATTTTATATTGGGTATTTAAATTCGGAGGGTATATATTTTTTATAGCAGCATGATTTGTAACAGCAAAATCTTGGAAAAAGCTCTTCAACTGATGAATGGATAAAGATTTATTTTATACAATGGAGTGCTACTCAGCTATAAAGAAGGATGAAGCAGAGACATTTCTAGGAAAATGGATGTAACTTTAGATCATATTTTTAAGTGAAATAATATGGACACATGTAAATATCACAATGTTTCTCTGTTATGAGAAACCAAAAGTGTAAATAAGGACAAAATATACACTATATACTATAAAACAGGAAGGAAAAAAAAGTTCAAATGGGAAAAGGAAATAGGGGGAAGGGGGAAAGGAAGAGAGAGAAAAGGAAAACTGAGAAAATAAAAAATGGAAACAAACTTTTTTTAAATAAGGAAGAGAAAAAGGGTTAGAGGGAGTTAAGGGGAATGCGCTAAAAAGAAGAATCAATATACATCATGTACAAGCACAAATTCCCTGTGGTGACTGTGGTAATGGTGTATATCTAAAATGTACCAATTTACTTAATTAAAAAAAGAGAAAAGATAAATTAAATCTGACTCCTTACTGAATTTGAGGTCACCAAGGAAATAGCTGGATTTTGTTTCTTGGATGTTGTGTTAGATTTTATTTCCAAAAAAGGGACTACAATAACATTTCTGCTCCCTTATGCACATGGAATAACTTTCAAATATTCATCCAGATTTAGGGTCCTTTTCCCTGTCTGTGAATCCTTTTTGTGATTGTGACTTCATTAACAAACAGAATGCAATTGCCAGGATGCTGACTGACATCCGAGGCCAAGTTAGACAATACATTCTCTCTCACAGGAGGCTCAGCCTTGGAAGCCAGCCAGCTGGTCAGGTCCAAAGAAGTGAAGGCTCAGTTTAAAGAACGTGTAAACACCCCAACTAATAATGTCAGCTAAGTACTGAGCTGAAGCCAGCATCAACCACTGGTCCTGGGAATGAACAGGCATCAGAGATGCCTCCAGGTCCCAGGCTCTGGCATGATCTTTTCAGACAGCAAGTGTAGCAGAGACAAGCTGTCTCTGCCAAATTCTGCACACAACACAGCCTCATGAGGAAAGTAGGTAAATATCATCATGTTGTAAGGAATCAGGATTTGGTGGTACTTATCCTTCAGCTACAATAACTGGAACAATTGTTAGGTTAGTGGCTGTGTTGCTAGTATGTGTGTGTGTGTGTGTGTGTGTGTGTGTGTGCGTGTGCGTGTGTGTGTGTGTGTGTGTGTGTAGTTGTGGAGGCTTTCTGGTTATAGAGGCTGGGAAGTCTAAAATGAAAGTGGAGGTATCTAGGGAGAGGAGAGAGAGGGAAGAATTTGGAGGGCCTCTCTCCTGGGGTGATGAAGTTAGCCCAGGAGCCTCACCCTTCTAGCCTAACTGCTGCCCACAGGTCTTACGTCCATCCCCCACTGCAGATCAAGAATTGAGTTCCCTGTCCATAAATTCTGGGAGGATCCATTCAAAGCATAGCAAGAAGAATCATAACCACTCCTAACCACATAAGTAGTGACTGTTGGAAATGTCAGTTCTGACTTGTTCCATGTGATTCTAGCTAAACTATTTCCTTTATCTAAAAGGATTCCTTGTGACCTATTATATATTTCACTTCATAATTTTCATACACTGCATGCTAATTTAAATGTTTTGAAAGAAAAGAAAGTATGTTTAGAATATTCAGTAGTCTTCAGTTTCCTGAATACATGTTGAATTTTCATTTTCTTTCGATTGGCTCATCATCTTGGAAGTTGAATTCTCCCAATGACTGGTTATTTTCTTTAATTTTGAAATACTTCTCATTTGCTACTTAGTATATATTATTAATGTTTGAAGGGCAAAATGAAATGCTACAATTTATAAAGTAAAAGTTCATTAGTGGCATTATTTCTTTCAAAATGGCGATAAGTGTAATACTGTGAAATATGACAAATTTTAATTAATGTTGTTACATAAAAAGTAAAAACTATATGTTCAAATCTATCACATGCGTTATAAATGATGACAGCTACATGATAATGTATATTTTTGTATCTTTTTAAAATTGATTTTCTAACCACATTACAAGTATGAAAACTTCAGAAGTCCTGGGGTCTCTTTCTTTTTCCATTCTGATCCACTGATGTTTCCAAGAAATCAAGAAAAAATAATTTTAATTTGCAGAGTTCCTTTTTATTTTTTCTTAGTAAATTCCAACTTTATATTCTATTTATATCAGTGGTGGATTTTAAGAATATTTTGTGTTCTATCATGTATAAAATTAATGCTTACTAACATCTTGAAAACAAATTCTGCTCTTCTGCTTCAAACATTTTAGACATTTCACACTGTCCCCTACAGAAAGAGCAAGCATTCGGTTATAAAATCAGCTTACAAAGCAAAAGATTCAAGCTCTTTGAGTTTGCAAACAATGTATTCTGCTCATCAACAGCTTTAAGTGTTTACAATTTTTAATTTTATGTAAGTTAAGGTCTATATTTAGATTTTCAATCAGTTTAGTTGAATGTCCTTTTCATTCACTGATAATAATGCAAATTGTAGCAAATTATCTAATTTTATTTTCAAAGAAAGTATTTTCGGTAATTAATCTTTTATTTCCATAGTTAAATATGATACCTTGCTCATATATATTACAAATGTCTTCACTTATATGATAGAGAAAAGATAAATAAGAAGTGTCATAAATGTGATATTCTGGAAAAATTGCCATGTTGTTCCTCTTTTTTATTATATTTTAATCATTGGAATATATAGCAATGGATGTTTGACAAGCTCAACAAGGGAACAAAAACACTGAATAGCTTTTGTTATGGTGTAAAGCTGTAATGATATGACAACAAAATATATCAACAAACACATCTAAGAAATATTGATTTCTCTGTATAATGTCAAACATCAACCGATTTTACTAAATAATTTCTGTTTCATAAGCATAATAGTTCTTAAAGAAGTAGCACAAATTAGTTAAGCTATTATCATTTGTATATAGAAACAAAATTTATTCAATCCAACCAATTCGAGTTTTTTTTGGAAACTGTGTCAAATATTTTATGAAGCTGAAAGATCTATTTATCATGTTTTAAAGATTTTCATGACATTTTATAAACTCAGTGTGATATATCTTGAGTTATTTAAAGAAAAGTAATATTCTTCTGCTTACGTGAATCTTTTCAATAAGTTTTTGTACCACATATTCACCACTTTCCTCATGTTAGTCAGCTTTTATCACTGTGACAGATTAGCTGAAACAAACAGCTTAAAGGAGGAGGAAACGTGGATTTGGACTCAGTGTTTCAAATGTTCCAGTCCGTGGTCTCTAGGTGCATAGACCTTAGTGAAGCAGAAACATCCTGGCAGAGAGAGCTGCTCAACACAGCAGCTGAGAAGCAGAGACAGAGAAAAAGAGTTATAAATAAAAGAGCAAGGGACAAAATACAGTTCTCAATGTCATGACCCCAAGACCCCATGACCCCAAGACCCAGTCTCTTCCATGAGGCCCCATCACCTAACTTTCCACTACCTCCCAGTAAACCACTGAGTTATTGTTCCACCCATCAATTAATCCCCTGATGGAGATAGAGCCTTCATAGTTCAAATCACTTTGCAAAAGACCCACGTATGAATGCATGAAACATAGGAGAGGGCATTTTAGATCTAAAACACAAATTCTCCTAACAACAAAAAGCTTATATCATATAAAAACTGATACACCCAAACATTAAGAGCCAATAAATGAGTTTTCAAATTGCAATCGATTCTTATGTAATTAGTTCAGAGACTAAACTAAAACTTTCTTGGTGAACCTTCATAAACTCCATCTGTCTTGCAATATCATTCATTTAAGTCTGAAAAAGATGTATGAGTTGTGATCCTAGAGTTTTAGGTTTGAATGTTCAACTCTCAATAGGTATGGGGAACTCACCAACAGGTCCAGTAGGAACAAGAACTTGGTTGCTTCTCCCCATGTGCGATCTGCACTGTCCTCTGTCTCTGCCAGTAAGGCTCATAGCAACCTAATGCGATTGTTGCACTTAGGGATTTTGGACTTGGTCAGATTTGATTTTCAGGATCATTTCCTCAAGTTCCACATTTTAAACCAAATTATTTAAACTTGGTCATCCATTGTTACTTTATCTTCGGATTTTTTATTGATTTTGTATCATTCCCCTGGATTCCTAATGTCAGGGCAGTCAACAAATCTCTCTTCTTTAGGAATGTCTCCTAATTTCTTCTCGCTTTTTAAATGTAAATGTAAGTTTATCCTGTCACTGCACTGTTCAAGGTGCTTTTCAACATAAATCTAGATTGGGATCACGATACTCTCCTTCTGTGTGGTAGATTTGATCCTTGTTCCAAAGTCAATTACACTGCAATGCCCTTTGTCAAGTCATATTCAGTACTACTAGGATGGTAAAGAATATTTCCCCACTACACACACTGATGCTAAGATTCACTGATGAAATGTGGGGGTTTACACAAGGAGAATGGTCTCAGTTCAGAGTATGGTCTCATTCCAGAGCAGACTTAAGTCCAGCCTGCAGTCAATAGTAGGTCAGATTTTCAGTCTGAAACAAGCTGCCTCAGCTGACCAAGATCAGGAAAGAGAAGTTATAAATGTTTACCATTGTGAGCCGCCAATATTGCGTGGCTCTTTTTTATAAAACTAAAACTAATACACTGCCTTTAGGATTTCTTTCTTCTGACAAAATGCACCCCTGTCGGATTTAACCTCCTATAATACTACTAGAGTCTCCCATTTACTGTTCAAATGCTTTATTGGTCCCAGTCACCTAATGAAAAATCTAAACGTTTTAACCAGATCGCTCACAACCAAGCTATAATTTACCTTTCCTGACAGATATTCCAATACTCCTAAGAAGGAACCTATTCTAGTATGTGGATGCAGTCATTGTTTCAAAAGTATTTAGTATTTATTTCCTCTTATTTATAAAATGCCTGTCTCATTTACTCGAGCAACAAATATTTTAAAATTTACAAAAATATTTTAAAAAGTCGTCTCTGCAGAACACCAAAGCTATTTTGACTGTTAAGATTAAGATATGAATATGTTTATAAAAAACAAGCTAAGATCTTACCTTTTACCCTTTAATCCTGAAATAGGTTGAACTATAAATGCTTAGTGTTCTGTTAATCGGTTTAAATGTTTCCACACACACGGTAGGTGTGGACTTTGCCTTCATCACATTTTCACTTCACCTAAAAGTCCAAAAGGGAATCGTGAGCAGGTAGATAACTTTCACGGTAGAGGAAGAGTTCATTCTGGGAGCCATCTTATCTACCAAATTACTCCAATTTATGATTCAGATCCATTACGTCTATCAGTTTCTAGTAATGCTTTTCACCAGGATTAGTGCACCAGCTGCTATCTTCAATTAACCTCAATCAAAAATAAAAGAATTCAGACCCAAACCTAGAAATGCATAATCAATATCCTATTCATCACAGAACAGAGCCATGCTAAATGCCTTCAGATCTAGAGGACAGCGATATATGCTAAATTGGAAGAAAAAATTGAAATAAAAATGAGCACCTCATTTCTTTCCTTTAAGTTAGATGTTCTTACCAACCACAGATTAAAAATAGCTAAAGTTATATCTTATCTAAGCAAGTAACAACCTGAAAGCCAAATTTAATTATTTCTGGTTTAAGAATGCTCTGTCACATTTGAAAACTGCAAAACCAGTACCGTAACGCCACAATGGAGGTATGATAGTCCAGACTGCCTGCTAGACATTCAACAAATGTATGACAAAGGTTGATTAAACCACAGATGCAGTTTAATGATTAAGTACCATACACCTCTTATCTCATGTCTGTAATAAACAGCTGTTTACTTAGCAAAAATTATCAACTCTAGCATCAATATGATGAACATAGAATGCTTGCCATTGTCAGATAACTCAATTTTAGGTTTTTTTGTTTTTTTGTTTTTTTTTTTTTTTTTGGTCTTTTTCCTTTTTATCGGTACCAGGGATTGAACTCACGACTGCCTGCTTGCAAGGCAGGTGCTTATGACGCTGAGCTAAATCCCCAGCCCCTATTTTAGGTTTTTAACATTAACAAAAAGTCAAACTAATCTGCTTCAAATTTTCAAAATCAACCTGCATGTCTATGAGCAGAGGGGAAAAACTATTATATAATAACATTAAAACCAAATCACTGAATTTGCTGCCAAAATTTAAGAGAAACTTAAGTAAGTAAAGCCATGCAGTTTCATTGGCAAATTCGATTAATTAAAACAGGTTTCTGTGTCTACCAGGTGGAACAAAATAAACCTGCTGTTTAGGGCGGACATGGTCACCATCTCACAGTCAATGACCAAAAAGCAACAGACCCATATTCACTAATGTATATGGTCTTTGGTGTTGGTCATAACACTTCACGGCCATTTCTTGCTATCTGAATCTTATTTTCTCAGGTAACGTCATACAGAAAATTATAGAATGCATTGCCTCTTGGGCATCACAGCTCAGGAAAAGTAAAGCACAATAACTGAAAGAAGAATAAGGAAAATAAAAGATAGAGATGCTATGGATATTTCTTTTCCATATATTCAGCTGGTTTAAGTCAGTAAACCTAAAATAACGAAATAAACATATGAGATGTAACTTACACTACCACATGTATTATAAATTGTCCTAGAATTTGTTCAGCACAATAAGATGGTAAATCTGCCCAAATCACAGAGCACAAAGCAAAACTGTAGCTCACATAAATATAAACATAAATGTGTAAATAAAAGTCCTAAACAAAGAATAATTCAAACTAAACAAATTTAGGGGCATATGGGGGGAAAATACTGCAATGTGGAATGAGTCATCCCACAACTCAAATGAGAAATATTTATATTATGAAGACATATAGCATTAATAATTGTTACCAAACCTTCTTCATTGTTTTCACAGGCTGTAAAACGATCTGACAGCTATGAAATAGGTGAGGAAGGACTCAAGGGGAAGTTAACAGGGGGGACTCAAAGACCGCACTCTGGAGCAGAGGACAGCTGTCTTGAGAAACGATGAACACTAAACTTTAAAATTCCCGCTGAGACCATACAAATTACTCACAATAAGAAAATCACTGAAAGTATGAATTAGAAAGCACAGAAAAAGCAGACAAGGAGAAAAACCCAGAGAAGAGAACATGGAAACTATGAAAGACACAGACTAAAAATATGATTTTAAAACATGTAGGCATTTATGAAGAATATATAAGAAATAATATTACAAAGAAGAATACTTCAAAATATAATTAGAAAGAGTCTCACCAACTCTTAAGATGTAGAAATCAGAAATCAGATGTCATTTCAAACCTAGTACAAGCATCTGGATAATCCTCATCATATATTTGAACTCATCAGGAAGTTCTTATGAGACTATAAAGTACACTTAATTTTAAAGAGCAAAAAATGCTTCCATGGGCTAGCGTGACTGCATAGGTTACGGAGAGCTTCATATGCAACCTATTTGTTCCCACTCTGCAACTTTTCTAGGGGCTTCAACCAGTGGTCGGTGAGAAGGATTGGGAGCAGGGAAAGCACAGTGCATGAGCTCTCTTGACACAGTCTTTCAGGGTCTGCTGAGCTTGCAAGTGGAGCTGGTGCACCTAGTGGAAGCAAGGAACAGCTCAGAAGAACCATGGATGATCCAGCCTGCAGATCAACAAGTTTAGAACTCCTGGAGGGGAAACGGGGATTAAATAAAAGACATAGGGGAGACAAAAGAGAGACAAAAGCAAGACAAAATAATCTGATCAAGCTTCCGGTTTATTCAGAAAATGATCACACCTTTTATAGGCTAAGGGCGGGAGCTGGGACAGGAAGAGGTTAAACAGATGAATACAACAGGATCACCATCACATCCGGATATGTGACGTAAGCAGGAGAGGATTATGGTTAATGTAGGCAGATGCAGTGCCCATAGGAGAGAGAGAGACATCGAGGCAGCAATGCCTGTCACTTGGCTCCCTACATCTCCTCCCTTTTTATATTATTTAATTAAGAGTATGGCAGGCCCTGTGAGGACAGCGTCTGTCTTAGGTCAAGGACCTCATTGCATGAACCCAACCAGGCCTTACCCGTCATGGGCTTACAGAACAGCAGTTGGTCCTGTGCTTGTCTTAGGTGGCTGTTGGAATTAACATGTATGTCCTAGTTGCCCGTCTCTGACTGCCTGTCCATTGCTCCAGGGCAGTTAGGCCACATCATCATATGGGCCACTGTGGGAATTCCTTCCCGGTAGGTTTGTTAATCTGCCATCTCCAGCTGATGATAGTGTATCTGAATGGGCTTGCCATAAATGTGTCTATCCTGTTATTAATGAACATCATAATCCTCTGAAAAATACAAGAACTCACAGAAATGAGAAACAATAGGTCAGCTAGGGGACCCAAAAGGGGCATTAGGTAAGGGAAATCCCCCCCCAAATCAAGGAGAAGGGGTTGACAGTCATTTGTTGGTGTCTCTGTATGAAGTTATTTTTTTGTGTCTTGGAGCATGTCTTGTATAACACTGGATGTAGTCTATTTGACTCGTGTATGTTTTTTTAGACCGAGAAGAGCCTCTTCTGTAGTCATGGGGTTTTGTGCATGGCTGTCAGTAATTGTAGTCTGTTTGGCAGGGGTCGAAATTTACCATGGGTGTGGTGTGGCTCAAGAAGGCTGACTAAGCAGCATAAGGCTCTAGGGAGATGTGTCACCTGTAAGAGAACACAGGGGATTGTGCCTCAGGAAATAACATTATTCCTGGGCATTACATGGGGTCTTTGAAGAACGGTCTACTTGTTTTACAAGGCGTTTAGGTAGCCATCTAGCTTTTCTATCTTGTTGAGAATAAACACACACTGAACCTCGTCCCCAGATAAGGACTGGATCAGGGCCATTCCACACATTGGTTAGTGGGTCTCTCCATAAAACAGATGCAAACCGTGTTTGAGTCTGAGTATGCCAAAACCGAGATGCTGCGGAGCATCCTGAAGCATCTAGGATCAGAAAATTTAAAATAAAAAGAGCATGTGAAAGGACATTTTTAGGGGACCCCTGGGTGGGGTACCATGTCTCCCTTTTTATTTTATCTATGGTGAATTTAAGAGAACGATGTGCACGTTTAACAATGCCTTGTCCCTGAGGATTATAAGGTATACCTGTGTTGTGGAGGATATTAAGGCTCTTGCAAAATTAAGCAAAGGAGGTACTGGTATAGCCAGGGCCATTATCGGTCTTAAGCTGTTGAGGACATCCCAGAACTGAGAAGGCTGACAGCATATGGGCTATAATGTGTTTAGCAGCTTTTCCAGTCTGGAGAGTGGCAAAAATGAAGCCACTATAAGTGTCAATAATGACATGTATATATTTTAGATTGCCAAACTCATTGAAATGGGTAATATCCATTTGCCATAAGGCGTTAGGAATTAAACCTCTAGGGTTGACTCCTAGGTGTTGAACAGGTGAGTGGATAGCACAAGATGGGCAATTTTTTATAATTTGTCTGGTTTGCTCACGGGTAATTTTGTAGAGAAGGCGGAGGGTGTGAGCATTGAGGTGGTGTAGCTGATGGGCTTGTTGGGCCTCAGACACCTTGGAGTCCTGAGCCATAAAAACCTGTGTTCATAGAGCAACATCAGCCAAATGATTTCCTTGGGCAAGAGGCCCTGGGAGGTTGGAATGAGCTTGCAGATGACCGATAAAGAACTTATGATGCCGAAGCCATATGAAGCATTGTAATTGTTTGAACAGATTTGCAGCTGGGGAAGCATGACATATAGTAGCAACAGTCTCTAATAATGGAACAGACTGAGCAAGGTAAGCACTGTCAGTATACAAATTAAATGGTTGGTCAGAGTAAGCAGCAAAAGCTGCAAGAATAGCTTTTAACTCTGCTAATTGTGCAGAGGAAGTATCTGCCTGGAGGGTAGAAACATTGTCTTGAGATACATAAGCAGCCCTTCCGGAGGATGAGCCATCAGTGAATAAAACCAGGGCACCTGGAAGGGCTTGCGAAGCTGTGACTTTAGGGAATATAAATGAGTGACGATTAGCAAAGTCAACTAGCTTATTTGGAGGGTAATGATTGTCAATAGTCCCTGAATAGGAAGCTAAGGCAATAGGCCACACTTTTGTACTTTGAAGTAGCCAATCTATTTGGTCTTTTGTAAAAGGTTGAATGATAATGTCTGGTTTTTTGCCAAAGTAACATTTTCCTTGCTTTCTACCCTGGATTATTAGGTCTGAGACAGCTTGGAAATAAGGCAAAAGTGTTCTTTTTGGAGAGACTGATAAATGGACCCATATGAGGGGAGCTTGTTGCCAGAACACTGCTGTAGGGCAAAGCTTTGTATTAAAAATGAGAAACTGTAAAGGCTCATTGTAGTCCATAAAGGAAACAGTTTGTTGAGCAATAGCCTCTTTTACTTTACTGAGCGCTCTCCTAGCATCAGGTGTAAGCTCTTGGGGGGAAGTTGGATCTATGTCTCCCCGAAGCAGCGCATAAAGGGGTTGTAAATCATGTTTAGTTAGTTTTAAAAATGGTATGAGCCAATTAATGTCTCCCAATAGTTTTTGGAAGTCATGAAGTGTAAAAGAATAGAGAAAAAGCAATCTTTAAGATCTATGACAATTTTAAAAAATCCCAAAGGAATGGCACTGGGTGAGGGGAGGCCAGGCTGTAGGGGCCCCATTAAGACCATTGTCTTATTTATCGCCCTAAGGTCTTGTAGCAGCCTCCACTTCCCTGACCTTTTCTGGATAACAAAGATAGGTGTGTTCCAAGGGGAATTACTAGGAACAATGTGGCCTGCATCTAACTGGTTCTGTACCAGCTGCTGTGCGGCTGCAAGCTTTTTAGAGTTAAGGTTGTTTTTAAAGGCTTATATGAATCCCCAATTTGCCATGGAGGCACAGGGAGTAGCGGGCTGCCGTCCTGGGACCTGCTGATCATGTCAACAGGTGGAAGTGGTGGCAGATCACCATGTATGAGGACCTCTAACAGGCCATCATTCTCTGCATCTGAGAAATCAGAGGCTTCAGATTTTTCTGAGGATGGTTTTGAGGTAGATTTAACGGAGTCGCGCAAGGCAGCCTAACCTAGTGTAACTGTCTCCTCAACCTGAGGGTCTGTATGCCTCTGGGCAAGCAGCTCAGAGATTAAATTCCAATATGTAAAGGTGGTCACAGGAACCTTTTTTGGACCAAAAACTCTATAATAATCTTTTAAAGCATCTCTTACTCTATTCCACCTCTTGGTATCTATAGAACCCTCTAGGGGGAACCAAGGGCAAACCTTATGAATAAATTGAAAATACTGCAATAATTTTTGTTCTAACCCTTATCTCTCTTGTCTTTCATGCTTTTATAAGGCCTCTGACAAACACTTCGTGTTCGCTCAATACTTGACCTATGTCCGGGAAGGGAAATGGGGTTGCCGTTCACTCACCGTGACTCGGGCAGGACGTCGGGTAGTCATCTGCGCAGGTCTCGGTACTTAATTTAATGTCCTGTTGCTTTAAGCTTTAATCCTTGATTTAGTTTACTCACTCCTCGGCCAAGGTCTCCGGTTCAATTTGCTTTCACTTTTAGTTTAAGCCTGCTGTCTTTCGAACGGCTCCCTCGTTAACTTCTCCATGCCAGGAGCCCCACGTTGGGCGCCACTTGATCCGGCCTGCAGATCAACAAGTTTAGAACTCCTGGAGGGGAAACGGGGATTAAATAAAAGACAGGGGAGACAAAAGAGAGAGGAAAGCAAGACAAAATAATCTGATCAAGCTTCTGGTTTATTCAGAAAATGATCACACCTTTTATAGGCTAAGGGCGGGAGCTGGGTCAGGAAGAGGTTAAACAGATGAATACAACAGGATCACCATCACATCCGGATATGTGACGTAAGCAGGAGAGGATTATGGTTAATGTAGGCAGATGCAGTGCCCATAGGAGAGAGAGAGACATCGAGGCAGCAATGCCTGTCACTCAGCTCCCTACACATGGATGCCAGATATGATCCTCTGCTGCACCCAGCACCAGCAGAGAGTCCACCAGATCTCTTTCTGAAACAAAGCAGAAGGCAACTACTTCTAGACGAGAGGAAAAATAATCTACTTTCCATTACCTGATCCTGTTGGCTGTTGCAGTGGCAGCTGAAGGAAACCCTCCCTCCTCACATTCAGTGCTTACTGTGGTGGCCACCAATGTGAGGGTAGATATCAAAGCTGCCTGTTGAGAAGGGTCGGGGTGAATACCCTTCCCCTATGCTTTTAGGCAAAGGAGGAGGCCTCTGAGGGAAAAGAAAAACCCTTGCAACTTTTTTTTTCCGGTTCCACTCTGAATTAAGGAGTCCAGATTACTTCTTGTATTACAAAGGGAAAAAATGTGTTCAGACTGAAGACCCTATGCTAATACAAAACAAACATATGGCAATACTGGAATAAAGCCAGTACATTCTGTGTTCAGAGTCATAACTGCAATATTACTCAATAGTTGGTCATTAATCAATATATTTCCAAATAATGCATAAGGTAAAGAAAACATTTAAAGAAAATTTTAAAAGTATTTTGGACTAAGTTTCACTCTGTGAAAACACAATATACTAAAGTAAGTGAGATCTAGTAAAATCATTGCCTTGATAAATTTACCCAGTTAATGTCTATGTTGGAGTATGAGAGGTCAAATCAATAATCTGGACTTCTACTGAAAGAAACAAAGGTAGAATAAAAGAAGAAATAAACAAAAAAAGAACAAGAAAGCAAAGTGTAGAATTTAAAGATGAAAATAATAAAGCACAGTGTAGAATTTAAAGATGAAAATAATAAAGCAAAATATAGAATTTAAACTAATAAAGCAAACTATAGAATTTAAAGAAAAAAATAAAAAATTCATATGTAGTTCTTAAAGGGGGCGATAAGATAAATCCCTACACAAATTGATCATAAAAATTATCAAGATTGGAAGTAACTGTGTAGACATTACAAACATTAAAGCAAAAATGTACCACTATAAGCCAATACATTCAACAGTTAAGTCTTTGATTAATACAATGAAAAATAGTACACTAAGCACTAGAAAATGAATGTAACTGAATCGAAAACTGAAACTTTTATTACAAAATTAAATTTCTCTTGATGAAATTTATTATTTTTTTATTATAAAGTGTGTAAAATTAGAACAAAACAGATCACAAGAAAACAACTTAATAAACAGATTTCAAAGCAAGACCACTGGAGAGCTTCATTATCTATCATATTGTCTCTTGTCTTCTTCCAAATAGTTGTCCATATCTTCACATACAGGGAATTCATACTGAACAAAATACTACTAAAATGATCAGAATAGGATGATGAAGGCATTTTAGGTCTTCAAGATCAGACAATAGGGAAGTCAACAATGGCTGCCAAAATGTCTCTCATTCTCTTCAAAATAGCTGTCCATATCTTTACGTATGTTGAAATTAAATAAAAGAAAACAGACTAATATCACTCTGGACAGAGAGTAATATTATTGATAGATATTATATCATAAGGCTATGGAATTAGCACTACCCGGGTATCTTAGTGTCTCTTTTTCTTCAGAGTATCTGTTCATTACATTTTACGTTATATAATCTCTACTAGTAAACTATTTAGAAGTTCTACACATGTACGAATCTCTACATGTATACCTATCCTTTCTCTATTAGAGGGAAAAACAAATCAAAAAAGACAACAAAACAAATTCCTAGAGAAACATGAAATGAAAGACATATAAAATCACAATACTAGGTGATCTACAGTAGTTACTACAATGTCTCTCGTTATTTTCAATAGAATTGTCTATATCACCAGGCACAATATAATTGAACATAGCACTACATAGCAATACTAATAAAGCCAAAACATTGGCGACATTATAGGACTTCAAAAGCAGTTAATAATCAAATGGGAATGGGTACCTATAGCATCTTGTCGTCTTCAGAGTAGTTGCCTCTACTCTTAGACTTGATACTATCATGCATACTAAATTCGAATAAAATCAGTCAAGACAAAACAGGGGTCTAACAAGCCAGATTCAAATAAGATCAGCCATAGCAAGACAATGTAAGCAATACATGGCTCCAAGTTAATAGGAAATTAATGGTAGTTACCATTGGATATCTTGCTACTTTTGTGATAGCTATCTGAGCCCCGACAGCCTGGAACAGAATAAAATCAAGCTAAACAGAGTGATAATAATAATGTGGCTTTTAAATCCTGATACACTATTAACAATGTCCTCTGCCTTCCTTTTTTAGATAATTTCTCCCCTTTCCCTTTCTCAGGGTGCTTTGTACATTTTGGTTCCCACTGACTCCTTTAGTTTTTAGATTGGGGGACAACCCGCTATCTATCTAAGTGGTTCTGAATCTTCTTACTACTGAGCTTGATCTTGAGCTGTATTCCTTTACCTACTAAAGCCTCAAGGTTCTCCTCCCTTATAGGTGAGTAGTTCTCCATTGCATAAAAGTGTCATGATTTTCCAACCTATCTGCCAGCTACTGGACAAGTTGTCCCTATTTCTCTCTGGATTCCTGTCATATAGAGCATTGTTTTCACATCTTTGACTTTCTATTCATTAATCCTCTTTCAGGTAGATTATACTTCCTATTCAGAGCATTTCAAAGGCACCTATGTCCTGAATTACTCTACCTGTGTTTCTTTTTGTTAGTGTATCAAGGCCATCTGTGTTAGAGATTATAGCCAGTCTTCTCTGCCTCATCTCTGCTATGCTATTTTTCTGCTGTTGGTTGTCTACTTTTCTCCTTCATTCCACTGTCTGCCCCATTCTTTGAGGCCTCTCTGCCAGTGTGTCTGGAATCCTGGTGATTTTTTTTATCTTTCTCTAGAATGTCCTTCAGTATTTTTTGTAGGTCATGAACCACCATGAGAGACCACAGTCTCTCTTTGTCACCAAAATATCTTGTTTCTCAGTTAATTTCTAGAGACAGTTTTTCAGGATACCTCAAACTGGGTTGGAGATTATTTTCTTTCAGGGTTTGGAATACTTCACTCCAAGCTCTTCTTGATTTGATACTTTGTGTCCAGAAGTCTGTCATGATTTTGACGGCTTTTCCTTTATAGGTGATCTGTTTCTTTTCTCTGACAGCTTTTAATGTTCTGTTCTTTTGATGAATTTCTGGGATCTTGATTATTATATGTCTGGGGATAGATCTGTTTTGTTTGTGGCTGGCTGGAGTTCTGTATGCCTCATATATCTGAATATCATTTCCTTTTCCTATGCTTGAGAAGAATTCCTTAATTATTTCTGTGAATAGCCTTTGTATTTCTATGTGTATACTCCTGCTTCTTCCCTCACATTTTTTATTCTTAAGTTATAGATTCTCTTGTTGTCTTCTAGCCTTTGTATTTTTATTTCTTGGTTCCTTGTTATTTTTGAGAGATCTTTCCTTTCCCAATCACATATTGCAAATCTATCTTCAAGTTTTTAAAGTCTAACTTTAGTTTCTGTCAAAGAATTTTGCCAGCTTTCAACAGAGTTTTTAATTTCCTGATAATCTCTTTGGATCTGTTTCATGTATTCTAGATTCAGTTTATATTCTTCATCAAAAGTTTCCCTCCTTATTCTGGGTGCCTCCATTCTTCCATCTGTGTCTTCTTGAGAGGTGCTTAGCATTTCTTTATTAATCATTTCATATATTGCCTCACTTAAATTAGAATTTCAGTTTTAAGTTCATCTATGGGGTCAAAAATGTGTTTCTTTATATCAGCTAATGCTGTGTCCGATAATGATGTTTGCTGTCCTCGCTTTCTTCTGTGGTTAACTCTCCTGTTCTTATATTCCCTGGGTCAGAGACTGGAAGCTTTTTCTTGTTTCTCTTGTTATGCTTCTGATTTCTTTCAGAGAGGTGTATGGTGGAGGTCTCAGGCCCTTTCCAAATTGCTTACAGTTTTTATGAAGCCTAGTAGCTAGAGGATTGTTGCCCTTTCCAGTTTACTGTTGACCTGTGAGGTGCACCCAGGTACGACATAAACTGATCACTCTCCTCTGAGCCAATCAACTAGCGAGTGCCTCAGTACATTAATCTGTGCCATGTAGACGTCACAAGTTTGGGACAGTTTTGTTCCTGGCTATTAGGTCTCAACCATGGTCGTGACCCAGCCCAAGCAGATCTCACCAGTCCTCCATGAGCCAGGAGCAGCCAACTGTTGCCCCTGGTGTTCCAGGTTCAGCCTCGTCCTGCCCAACTCCAATATTTCATCCAGCCGATCACTCACTCTATGGGACCCAATTCTTAGCACTCACCATGGGTTAATGCAGCTCTCCACGTTGGTTCTGCTCTCCTTGTGCAGCATCCTCTGCCAAGGGCCTTGGGCTCACCAACTCCCGACTTCAGTGCTACCGCGACTTCAGCACAACTATGAATTGTGCTCCAAGGTGCACCCAGCAGAGCTCTGGAATTGCTCCAGTGAGAGTGCGTCTGGTTCCGGCCTTTCCTCCATGTTTTTCCTTCCTTCCTTTCTTTGATTTTTTTTTTTCCTTTTCCTTTTTCCTCAGTTTCTTTCTGGGTCATGAGCATCCCTCTCCTTTGGTGTGATCGCCTCCTGCTGTTACATTCTAGCATCTGAGTTGTATTTCTCCGAGGCTTTCCACCCTGCTACCTATCAATCTGCCATCTTTCCAGTATCCCATAATGAAGAAATTTGAGTAATCATTCCAAAAT